TGTGTCGAAACGTCTCCGACGCCGTGGCTTGGTAGATATTGTCTTGGCCTTGTGGGCGGCCAGGAGAATCTTGTCGCGCATGACGTAACTGCGGTCGGAGTGGCGCGGGCGGCGATGGGTAGCGGGAGAGCGCGCCCTGAACTCAGGGGAGCCACGGGATGAACTGCGGCTCATGGAACGGCGGTCACGTCCTCTGTCGCTGCCATATGATCTGTTGCGGCCACGTGGACTGCCGCGCCCTCCGCCACGCCCGTCTCGTCCTCGGGAAGATGATCGTGATGACCTGTCATATCGGCCTCTCGACTGGCTGCGAGAGTCGGTAAATTTCCTGGGGGATGATCGAGATCGGTCGTATTGGCGTCTGTTGTCACGTCGGTTGTGTGAGCCCCTCGCATTCCGAACCCCCCCGCGTTGTGGAGAGCGTCTGCTCCCTGAGCCGCGGGGCGGTGGGCGGCCGCGGCTGTCCTGACTGGAAGTCCGTGGGCGGCTGGGGCTTCTCTCAAGTGTCTTCGTACCAGGTGCCGGGTGAGCATATTTGCATTTGTCGCCCTTGTGGCACTTGTTCTGTACGAAGAAGCTGCGCTGCGCCATTTGCGGGGCGTTGCACTTGTCACCGCGTGCGCAGGTGCTGCGCTTGGCGAACTCGAAGCAGAACGGCTTCGATCCTGGCTTTTTGGGGTTCGCAGGGGCTGAGACGCTGCGGCGAGCGTTGCTGCCGGCGCTCGATGCTCGGGAGGATCTGCCGTCCTTCCCGTCCCTGGAAAAAAAATGTAAAGCCTTGCAGCGGTCACCATTGCGACAGTTGCCTTTCTTCCAGGCTGCGCAGATGTTCACCTGAGAGCGGTTCTCGTACTCGTACATAAGCTTATTTTGATTATTCTCGAGTTGTTTGAGCTCCAACACGTCGGGGGCGCGTTGTCGGAGCCAATCGTAGGTGCGATTTGGGTCGCTTATCTTCGTGCGCTGGTACTCGTACTTGTCCTGCTTCATCCAGGCATGTCGACGAATCTGCATGCGAAACAGAGATTCGCTCGAAATCGTGTAGGTCGTCATCAACCTCAGTCACTTTGTAGGACTGCAGGATGTGCCAGTAGATCTGGCGTCCTTTCTGCATGCGTCCTGCTTTGTGCTCCCTGGTTTCGATGGGCCTGATCTGGTAGCGCAGATCGGAGGACAAGATGTCGCTGAGAGCGGTGGCGAGTTTGCAATCGATGCTCTCAAAGTCTCCGCTGTCTTGTAAGTCCTCGAAGGTGCACTCGGGCTGTTCAGCCGCGCGCAGGAAGGCGTATGCTTTGGATGGGCGGCCTGAAGCGGCCAAAGTTCTTCCGTACCTTTTGCTGCCACTCAAGCAACTGTGTGATCTTAGGCAAGACGGAAACTCTGACGGTGTCTGACTCCTTCATAGGAGTAGTGGCTTTGACCGAAGCCGCCGACAGTTGTTGTGAGGGTATCGGTGCACCGTCGTTAGCTGGTTCTATGCGCGCGGGAGACACATGGCGTGTCTGTGCTGAAGCTGCCGCGGATACTGCTCCTGGTGACGTACGTCGTTGTTGTCCTGCAGAAGCGTGTTGTGCTTCAGCGGACGCTGCCGTCGGCCTGGAGAGGCCAGGTGTAGGCTGAAGGTGAAGTGTCGTGTCGTTGGTGTGGTCAATCAGTTGATTTGTCCAGTTCGTCATGTCCTCGTGTAATTGGTCCACTTTTTGGCGTGCATAATCGTCGGTGTCCCGAGAGCGTTGGGAATGCCGATCAAGTCGTTGCTCGTAGGCTCGAAGACGGGCGTTGTGCGCCTCCATTTCACCTTCCAGACGTGTGATACACTCCTCAACACGTACCTGTTCAGCATCTCTCTCACGAATGACCTGGGAGAGCTCAGACTGCGCGTGGCCCGCCGCCGCCCTAAACTCCTGCGACCTGTCTGTGGGGCGGGCGAAATCGTAAACCGTAGGAGGAGATCCCAGCTGATCAGCCGGGGCTCGTCCGACACGCAACTCTGCCAGGGCGTCCTGTACATCAGGTAAACGCTGCTCGATTTCAGGGATCCGATTAGTGAGGGGCTGCGCGGCAGCGTTGGTCGCATCAAGCCGTTGAGCAATAACTCTCTCAGCATTCTGTAACGTGCCGATCAAGGTCGACGAGTTGGTGTTCGCTTCATTTTGCGCAGCGTCGCCGTCGCGTGGTCCATGTGGGATCGAAGATCATTGAGTTGAGACTGGACGTCGCCGAGGTCGTGTGCCTCAGATGGAGGCGGTCGGTTTCGGAGCTGGTCGTGGATCTCGTCATGTAGGATCCTGACCGCTGAGATGCCTGTGTCGCGGACGATCACAAGCTGTTGCTCCATCTGGGCAAGGTAGTTGCGCAGGTGCTCGACCGTCGCTGACCGTTCACCTGAATATGACATCTCACGGTCAACCTGGAACTGCAGCTTACTTAAGATACCGCAACCTTCAGCGATCCTGGAATCTATGATCGCTAAGGCGCCGTCGAAATCTTGACGTAGGGCAGCAGTGTTGGCAGCGTTCGTCTGAACGCTCCGCATCAGTCCAGAGTACTTATTGCCTGGACACGAAGGTTTCAACCTGGTCTCGCAGCTCAGCGATCTCACCTGCAGCGGACGTGGCCGCCGGCAGGTCGTCTGAGAGGGAGAGGTGAGGAGCGTCAGCTCCCTGTTGAGTCCTCTCGCGAGGAGTGCATGGCCTCTGAGAGGCAGTGCGCGAACTCGACCTATTCTCGTCGTAGGGGCCTGTGGCCTCACGACGGTTACGCGAGGACGAGCTGCGGCTAGGGCCGTGTGTGTGTGTGTGTGTGTGTGTGTGGTATCTAACGGGATGATACCTGGGGATGCTGCGTCTGCGGCTGTGCCGCCGCTGGTCTACCGAGCTCCTCAAAGGCGGCAGCGTGCTCCGACGCAGGAGCGTTCGCAGGACTGGTCAGGCCACCACTGGTGTTCCATCGGCGGTTAGCGCGGACACGCCCTGGAGTATCGAGACCAGTGGGGCTCGCGCCCGACGCAGTTGGGATTGCTCCCGACGGAAGAGGAGATGGAAGGTCGAAGGTCGGCGTGTGAAATCCTCCACTGCCTGCTCCTACTCCTTCTCCTGTCCCCCCGCGGGCGGCGTGGCGTTGAAATTCAGCAGCTAACCGCGCCTCGGGTCCGTCTGAGCTGGGGGGGGGGGGGGGGGTATCTGGGACACCCACACGGTCACCTCTAAGGCTCTCCAACTCATCACCGAGCCGTCGCGCCGTCGGAGAGCTCGGACGCGACGCCTCGAAGGATCCCTTACGGCGCATGCGCCGCTTGGGCTCCATCGAGGCCGCGTGCGAGATCGCGACGCGGGGTTCGGTGAACACTGAGCTTTAAGGGCTGATAACCTGTGTATGGGGTTGGAGTACAAAGGTACAAAACCCCTGATCCGTTGGTAGAAGATAGGAGGGAAATGTGGATATCTTTTCCTCCTGCACGATCAAAGGTCTGATCGATACCAATCCAATACCTGAGCCCAAACGGCCAGGGGCAGGAGAGTCAGGATAAGGAGTATATATCAGGGTATTATACGGGTTCTATTCACAACCCCATCCCATGTGTTCGTCGTAGGCGGAGGGAAGTGCAGATTCCCGCAAGGCGTAGCAAGACCATGAAGCCGCATACCGAGTCTGTCCACTGAACTGACATCGTGAAATACTCGGAGAGACGGGCAACCGGAACAAACCACTGCCAGCGGGTAGCCGCACTGCTGGGGCAATAATACCCAGCGGGAGCGAAGATATGAGGAGAGAGGAGGAGCCGGGATCCTCCCCGCGGGGGGGCGAGGGAAAATGCGGATGAGGACAGGGATGGGGAGGGATATAAGGAGGAATCTCAGCGGTGCTGCAATACACCCTTCGTTCCCAAGTCCCCTCCCTACAACAAGCATTCACTCGCGGGGAACATCCGTTGGAAAGACGAGCGCCCAATGGGCCCGGCAATCGAGCGAGAGCCCCGTTTTGAAAAATAATGGCGGCCCACCGATGTAAGTATTCAGCACCTCTGGCTGTAGGATAGAAAGCTCAACGCGTTGTTTAGCAAGGACAACGTTTCGGAAAGGTGCCCCGTCCGTCCGTGCAGTTGTTCAACATTTGGTAGGCTCAAAGCGTACATTCTTCACACGTCTCAAGAGATGATCAACATGAAACATATCACCCTGTATCCGTGTCCTTGCGCACATCTAGTTACTGGGTCAGAGGCGCAAATGAATTATCTAGCGGCAACCTCGTGCTGAAAACAACCGCCTTCTGTGGGGTCAGTTGCTGCAAGCTTTTGAAACGGGTGTGTTGGCATCAAAGTATCAGCCACAATTTTCACATAACACGACGCTCCCTCCATCCGCATAGCTCCTTCATGCGCTTCGGGCGAGTGTGCGCGGCACTGGAGTCAGAACCCCATTTTGAAAGTCCCCCCCCATCCATCCGTGCAGCTATCCGAAACATCCGACGTCTCCTTTTTTCAATGCGGGTTCCCCAGGTGTCTCGACCCGGGCACAACACCAGCCCCAAGAGGCCGAAACGCCCTGCTGTTTTCCAAGACGTTGGACGTCTGGGGTTGCAACCGACATGGGGCAAGTAACCCCGTCGGCGCGAAGCTTCACTACACACCACGGTCAGGAACTTCCGCATAGCGTGCCGCGGCTGCGGCCCTGGCGACACACTATGCCTTGCGATAGGATGTCGTGTCGCTCCGCTCCGCGGGGCGGGAGGCTTCGAAACGCTCGGGTCGTTGACGCCTGGGGACCAGGATGTTGATAGCGTGTCGCGCCAGGCCGTGGTGGGCCAGAACCGGCGGAGCGACACGCTGAGCCTAAGATTCCGACCGTACGCCTCGTTACTCGAGGTGCGCCAGTAGCCTCGACGTACGCGATCTTGTGAAACTTCTCGGGGCCCCGTGCGCGTACGCGCTTGTTTTTTTCCCGCCCGGGAGCAGATCCAGCGCACCGCGCCATCGGAAAAAAAGCAGCGCATCCGAGAAA